GATTGCAGGTTTGAGGCCAACTTGGGCTCCACAGTAAGACCATGTCCCCTAAACAAAGTCAAGAAATAGCGCGGGTGGGGGATGATGAGGGAACATCCCTTACATGCGTGTCCCTGATGTTTTGACGCTCGTGTTTAGAGAGGCTGCCCGCGAATGCCGCCGGAAGAAGAAGGAGTACGTGAAGTGCCTGGAGAACCGCGTGGCTGTTCTGGAAAATCAAAACAAAACCCTGATAGAAGAGCTGAAGACGCTGAAGGATCTGTATTCTCATAAAAGTGTTTGATTCTTTAAAGACAAAGTATTTTTGTGGACTTCCTTAACAATTAGGTGGATTTTTTTTTTCTTTTCGGGTGGAGTCCTGTAAATTCAAAAGTCAAAGCGGCCACTTTGTGTTAGGATCTTACAGTGCAGAGGTGGCGGAGGCTGAGTGGAAGCGACCTTCAAGGAGCTGCTGGCACAGCCAGGAGCTCAGAAAGGAGAAGGTGGTAAAGCAGGCGATTCCCGCCAAGTCTGGATTCTCACTGTTTTTCAAGACATGCCTTTTTCGTGTGTGTGTGTGTGTGTGTGTGTGTGTGTGTGTGTTTCTCATTTCTGCCAATAAATTTTAAATTACAAATGTAAAAGCAAGCATAACATTACTAAGTGTGTAAATTATGTGGGCTATTGTACTGTCTGTCAGGTGTGCTAAATGAGCTAACTTTTGGTTTTGTTGGACGACGGGTTTGAGAAGCATCCTAAAAGGCACAGAGGTACAAGATCCTACAGTGGTCTGTAACATTCTTACCAGAATGGAAAGAGACTGTCTGCAAGTTTGATAGTTTTAAATAGTTCTTTGCCTCCTCTGATGAGGGCAATTTTCACAAGTATATGATAAATTGGCTTTTTGATTCTCTAACCCTGTATGCAGTTGAAGATCATTACTTCCTCTTTTGTGCTTTAATGGAATGAAGTGTTTACAAAAGCCCTTAAAATATTTTAAATAACCTGAAGATGCACAACAAACCAAAGCTTTCCCGAGAGGAATTTCTGATCATCTTCCCGTAAGGCTCATCGGGTTCTAAAATAGTTACTGAGGCAACTTTACATTGAGATGCTGTGTGATGTCGCCTGTGGTACCTTTATAAGAGAAGTGACTGCCGATATATTTTTATAGTGAATCTTTATAAATTCTAATGTTGAGTTTTTAATGATTATTTTAAATGTTTATATAGTTTGTTTAGTAAAAGAATTTGTATCTGAAAGTATCATTTTTATATTATGAGAAGAGTAAAGGTTTCAATTGGCTGATATTTGAATGTATGTTTTCTATAAAGTTCAAGCTGTGGTCAGTACACCAGCGTTTAACCTCTATATTCTAATCTGTGTACACTTGGAAACTGTACTGCAGAACTGTTTTGTGCCTACATGGTATGTTTCATGTCGTCTATGAGATTAAAGACCATTTGATAAGATTGTTCGCTGAACTCAAAGTGTAATGCACGGCATGCGCACCCAGGCTGACAGCGCGGGGCAGGGCCCTGAGGAGTCACTCAGCCCTAAAGCACAGCTAGATTTGAAGCCCTGCTCTAGGTGGGCCTTGACTCAGAACCAGTTAGGCTGGACGCGCTTAGGAAAGCTGCTGACCTTAGGGACCTGGGGACATCCCGTCAGGGCGCAGAGTCACCCAGTCAGTTTGCCATTGGTGGGACTGACCACTTTAGCAGTTTGTAGAAAGACACGTTGGGCTCTTCCTTTCTTACACAAAACTAAGCTGGTGGTTAGTCGGCCGAGAACGCACGGGTGTCTATTAGCTTCAGCACAGAGGAGTGTTCAGCTGGGAGGTCACGGTTCTCACATCTACTGATGGAAGCGGCCACCTGCTCCAACTGCATCTCGGCATCTAAGGGCCTTTTCATTTTCCGTCTTTCCGTGTTGAAGATGGAACCTCAGACTTTGCACAAGCCTGGCCAGCACTTGGCTGTAAGGTAGTGTCCCAGCCAGCAAATGAGTTTGTGATGACTTTTTTGTTTGTTTTTTTGAGACTCTGGAACCCTGTCTGTCCTGGAACTCTCTGTAGAACAGGCTGGCCTTGAACTCAAAGAGAACTGCCTGTCTCTGCCTCCCTGTGTGCTAGGATTACAGGTGTGCCCCACCTTGCCCAGTTTCTTTTGTTGTTGTTGTGTTTTGTATTGTTTTTTTTTTTTTTAAGATTTATACAGTTTTGCATGTTTGCATGTGCACTGGCACCAAATCTCACTACAGATGGTTGTGAGCCACCATGTGGTTGCTAAGAGCAGCCAGTGCTCTTAGCCACTGAGCCATCTTGGGCCCGTGTGATGACTGTTTTAAACAATAAAGAACAGGTATTCCTTAGTTCATTGGGATGATGGAGAGGTGCATCATAACTTAGAATTAGCACTCAGTTGTGGTGACGCAGTGCGCATTCCCAGGAAAAGATGCTGTGAGGCACGATGGCTAAGAAATGCCATGAGTCAGTCAGGAGGGCAGAGTCCTCAAATGCATTCAATCACAGAAAAGGTACCCGTCACGGTAGAGGAATTCAGAAGGCCTTTCTAGGTTGGTCCTGCCCCCAGGTCTTAGGGACTGTGCTGCAGGAGATGGGTAGGACATGTAAGTCAAGGTGACTTTACATACGTATGTACTCAAGATGTTTACAGCTTTCCTAGTGTTGACTGCACCAATAACTGTGAGGGCAGCAGTGAGGTCACATGACGCCTTTTAGATCCTAGTGAACACGGAAGGGACAGGACCTACGCAGCCTCTGGCTCTGAACAACCCAGAGTAGGTCCAGCTGTGGTGCGCGCACACCTGTGATCTCAGCTGAAACCAGGGACCTGAGACAGGAGAACCAAGACTTGAGGCCAGATGTGGTACACCCTTTTTAATCTTTTCCTGTGCATTGGTGTGTTGGTTGTGTATGTCTGTGTGGGGGAGTTGAAACCCCTAGAACCAGAGTTACAAGCACTTGTGGGCCACCATGTGAGTGCTGAAAGTTGAACCCGGGTCCATCTCGTCAGCCCAATGGCACACACCTAATCTGAGAGGCAGAAGGAGGCAGCCTGGCGTACACAGCAAGTTCCAGGGAGCCTGTGGTTGAGGCATGTCCTCAGAGGAGGAGAAGAAAGCTGGCTCTTGGAATCATCTCCGACCACCTGGGGTAGTGTGGCACGCGCCTGCCTCTGCACAGACGTTATACAAATACAATAGATGTATTTTAGAGAACAGCAACCCCGGGCTGCAGAGTTGGCTCAGAGGTTAAGAGCACTGGCTGCTCTTCCGAAGGTCCTGAGTTCAGTTCCCAGCAACCGTACGGTGGCTCACAGCCATCTATAGTAAGATCTGGTGCTCGGGCACACATGCGGCAGAACACTGTATACGTAATAAATAAATCTTGAAAAAAAGGATAGCTATCCCACCCTTCCCTGGGACATACCTTTACTAGACTCCAGGGGGACTGTCTTATGTCGGCCATTACCAGGATTCCTATTTGAGTTCAAATTCTTGTAGTCACAGAAAATGTTGATACTCTGCCCAAAGCTACAAGGTGAATAATGAAACTAATGTTAGGTTCTAGGTTGAAGCCGGGCCCAGTGGCGCTTGCCTGTGATCCCAGCAGTCGGGGAGGCAGAGGCAGGTAGTCCTTTTGAGTTTGAGGCCAGCCTGGTCTACAAAGCAAGTCCAGGACAACCAAGGCTACACAGAGAAACTCACGAAAACAACAGAAAATTGAAGTTGAGTCGACTCCAAAGTTTGTGGTTTTGGTCATTCAAATGTGTCTTCCTTCAAACCAGTGGGTTTTAAGGGAGAAAGGCTTTAAATGTGTCCACTAGGTGGCACCCTTTTCCAATCACAGACATGTAGAAAAAAATATGACGAAGGACCAGCAAGGTGGCGGAGCAGGTAAAGACGCTTGCTGCCAAGCCTGATATCCTGAGTGTGGCACGCACGCATGCCTAAGAACACACATGAAATGAAAATGTCCTAAAGCACCAGATCTCTGTTACCTTGAGATCTGAAGGGAGGGTGTGCATTCAGGAGTGCCCGCAATCCCTTTCTTCCCTGCTTTCTACCGGAGGCAGCTTCTTGATTTAGTGTGTCCACACAGTGTGTGTATGCTCACTACATCTTCACAGATACGGAGTAATCCCAGCACTGGGGCTGAGGTGAGCCCAGGCCAGCCTGGGCTCCATAGCAAGATCCTGTCTCAAAACGCACAAAAGCCCGAGAATTTTGCTCAGCTGGTCAGCGCTTGCCCAACAGGCAGGTGTATTGTTCAGAGTTCAACTGAGCGCCCAGTAAACAGAGCATATTGGCTCTAGTGTGTAATCCCAGCACCATCAGGGCAGGAGATTAGGAGTTTGAAGTCAGCCCAGGCTACATGAGAGCATGTAAAAATATACAGCCAGGGCCATACAGAGAGACCCCTGCCTTAAAAAGATGCAAAAACAAATAAATGGACTGAGCATTTTAACTGAAAAGCAAAGGTTGAAGTGGGAGGCATTACATGTTAAAATGAGAAACAGGAGAAACGAGGAAAGTTCCAACAGAAGCAGGGAAGTAGTAAATCGGATTGGAACAGTTAGCAACCTGACGCTGAATGTCAGCTGGAAGCCGTTTCTAATGATGAGGCCCGCCCTGCTCAGCTTTAACTGCCAGCTGATGCGGCCTAGCCTGACCTGATTGGGCTGTCGGCATGGCGGAGGGCAGCACCGGTCCCTGGGCAGCTCCTCCTGGACCCACAGGAAAGCTGGCTAATACCTGCTCTGCTAGGGAGCCAGCAGCAAGCGGCATTGGTTCATGGTTCCTGCTGGACCTCTGTGCTTGGAGGTCACGCTGTGTAGACTAGCAAGCAGTCTGGCCTTTGACTTCCTGCCCTGGCTGAGACAGATTGTAACCTAGTTAAGATGAAATAAATGTTTTCCTCCTCCTCTGTGTCCCTTTTGCTCTTTGCAACAGAATGAATAAAGTGTTACCCTAATCTGAGAAGGAAAAACAAGTGTGAAGCCAGTATGCCAGGGAAACAAGATGGGTGCTGACCTCAGGGATGACCAGCAGAAAGTGCATCTTTTATGGTGGTTCAGTGCAGGGCACACACACACACACACACACCCCCGATAGCTCCTTGGGTACGAACATGGATCACATACGGGGCAATCAAGTCAGACTCAAGTTTCGGAGCATTAAGACGGATGTTTCTTTGGGCTTCACTGCCGTTTCCTCTGAACTGTGGTTGTGGCCTGTCGCGGCTTTAGGCGTCTTGAAAACACAGCACTAAAGCAGAACTTGCTTCTGGAGAAGAAGCGCAGACTTGGAGCTGAGGAGAAAAAGCCTGGACCCGCCTCCTGCTTAGCTCTGCCTGTAGGCGTGCTATTCATTCAGTGCATCGAAAACTGACGACTCTGACCTGTCCTGCACCCTTCAGGGCTCACCTCCTTTGTCCTGTCCCAGACCTGAAACGTCTCCTCAAAGTCTCCAGTCATTTCCCTGAACCCTTGGTAACCTTGAATTCTAAAACCGTAAGACGCAGATCTCGCATGATGCAATCACCCCTAGACGGGAGCAGTCGCCCCATGAGAAATGAGACCCCAAGAAGAACAACCCTCATTGGGGAACCAAGTGAACTCCAAGGCCGCCTTCCTGAGACGGACCAGGCCAAAGACCCCTCCTGGCAGCCATGACTGGGGTGAATGGGGCCCGGCAACCACAAATTTAGATGAAGATTCTAGACTTCTCAAAACCAAGTTATTGGAATCACCCTCATTCAACAAAAATGGAAGAGCTGCACGCAATGGTACAGCCCTGGCTGACGCAAGTCTTGGAAATTGTTCTCTAATCTTCAAACCAAAAGTTAAAGCTCTGGTTCAGGGCTGGAACAGGGAACCAAGGCCCTCCCTGGAGTTCAGGACTGGCTGCACACAAGCCCTGAGGGGACAGTGAGAAGTGGGGTGGACTGACAGTATGGCTCAGGGCTAGAGTACTTGCCTCGATTGTTTTGTTTAGACAGGGTCTCTCTGTGTAGGCCTGGCTGTCCCGGAACTCACTATATAGACCAGGCTGGCCTCGAACTCAGAGACCCACCCACCTCTGCCTCCCCCATGCTGGGATGAAGGCGTGCGCCACCAATGCCAGGCTTGCCTCAGCTCTCTGGGTTCAACCCCTGGTACTGCTGAAGAAAGGGAGGGCTTGAGGAGAGAGGGGGAAGAGAGAGGGCCGAGGAAGACAGATGAAAGCAAAGGGAGCGAGGAGCAAGAGGTGCAAATGCAGCAGTCTTGAGAGGTCAGGAACCATAAATTGTGTCTGCAAAGCCCTGGCTGGCCTCAAACTAACTCTACAGAACAGGCTGCCATCAAACTCAGATATCCACCTGCCTCTGCCTCCAAGGGCTGGATTACAGTGTGCACCGCACGGCCATACTGAGCTCACAGGCTGCTTCTTAACTCCGCTGCGGAAGGAG